TAAAAGCAAGGACTGGCCTCGTCTTAATAAAGGAAGCGCTTCATCTCATCTCCTTCACAGAGCTCTCTTGTCCTTAGCAGTTTTTCTAAGTCCAGTGAAAAAAATCTGAAGCTCTTTACTTAAACAAGTGTGTCCCCTCCCTTTTTAACTTTTTGCAGCCTGTAAGACAGAGTTGTCCATGTAGAAATAATGGCACAAAAGCAGTGACTTTCTAAACTATTTGTGGAATGCAGTCTATCACCTCCTATTAGAAATGCACAGGAAACTGTGGGCCCAAATCACCTTACAAACCCACGTATCTTGACATATAAACTTATTTCTAATTACTGAGGGGCCAGATAACTTATAAACTACTAATAGCTTCACAGCCTTCAAAAGAGATACCCCACATATGGGGTGTGCCTCCAGACCACTGGAGGTCTTGTCCAGGATACATTTAATTATGATTTCTGTGTGAGAGAAAAGTTACTATTTTAAGTCAACTTAATTTAAGAAAATATATTACTAGTGAAAATAGTAGGAAAATACTTTAAAATTTCTGATTTTATTTATTGAAGGGTATAGAGTGAACTATGGCATCATTAGTTCATATGCCCTTTGGAAAATGTCTGGGCAGGTGGATTGGCTAGATGGTGAAACCCAAATCTGAGGCCTTGCTGCAAATTCCATCCCAGGACTCAAGAAATGACCAGCAGCTCTAAAAATCCTCTAGGATCCTCTGTCTAAAAATGTCACCTCACTAGCAAAGTCCACACAGAACCTTTTAAATTATGACATGCATATGTTACCATTCAATACAGTTTTACAAAATAAACCACAGGAATATATATAAAATTTCTGGGATGTAATTGTTTAAGTAACATTTCACTTACTGTTGCGTAAGAGAATCTTTAAGAATATGACATATTCCACCATAAATTATTAAAATAGGGATGAAAACTATGAAAACCTATGAAAACCACAGGCAGGGGCTCTCCCCTTGAGGCATGTATACCTCTGGCTGTGGGTAGGAGAGGAACTTTTTCCTTGTGGGAAAATTTGCTCCATCTTTGAGCAGCTCAGTTCTTTTTCCCAATTCATGGTTCCTCTGACGTATTGAGCCATTTGCAGCAATTTGTTTCTGGTTTGAATTACAACAACTCGAGAGCATGTTGTAGGGGAATGGCAGCGAAGAACCAAGTGTCTGGCAAGCATCCTTCCCCCATCAAGCCGCTCTGGGTTATGTGAGTACACCCAGGCTCTTGTGCAATAGCAGCAGGAACACGGTGGCCTCTTACACCCAGGAGCTTGGGCTCTGTGACTGCGGGAGCCTATAGCAGTAGTTCATTGAGCCCCTTTGCCAACACAGACTGTATCATATAACCCAAGACAAAACTGTTGAGAATGACACGCATTCACTGAAGAAACAACACTTTGCTACCTGCCCTGTATGCACACCTGGAAGAGTGTTTCAGGTATTCAGAAGTACTTTTCATTTCAGTTGTGATAAGGTGCAATTCCTATTTCCTTTGTAAAGGCTGTGGAGAATGTGAACTTAAAGATAAAAGCCTTTGGGAAAAAGTTCTCATTTTCCACTTCCTACATGCTGCACGTGAACATCTCCTACCTACACTGGGTAGCTGTGAAATACCAGTGAGAATGCTGAGGCAGTTTAAATACGTTATGCCCATATGTATCTCCCTATCAAATGTGAAGTGTAACGTCAGCATCAGTACCTGCACAATTGGATGGACGGTGATTTTGTGCACATCTTGCTGTGCAGGCTCCTGCACCAAGTTAGAGGCAACGAAGCTGAACCCTCTGAAAAGATGATGAGCATTGGCACTTGGAGGAACACCTGGGGAATCTGTAGGAGAAGGAACATGGCCTTATGAGCTGCACAAAAGATCAGAAGGTGATAGCACAGCACCTGCAACAGACAAAGTCACTCCTCCCAGTCAACAGCAGATCCTGCTAAACTGGCAGACACACGTGAATATAATCCACCTCCATATCAAGGCTTTGGTGTGCCTTCTCCATCCCTTTCCTCTGGATCTGAACAGTGCAGGGGTATTGTTTGCAAGGATCTCTCCTCTTGGATACTTTTTTTTCACAGTGCATGTTCATTCTTAGGCAAAGCACTACCTGTGCCAGGAAATCCGCACAGAGAGGGAAGGCACAGGATAGCAAGGCTAGGAGAAAGATGATGGCTCAAGGCAGGGCACCCCTTTGGCTTAGCAGATGTTCTCCAGGGAGTGGAAAAAAGCTGCAAGATGCTATATCTGCTCTTTGCAGCACACCCTGACTACAGAAATTACAAAGGCTGAAGTGTCTTTTGGGTAATGTGGTATGTTGTGTGGGTCAGGAGAATGTGGAGAAGACAGGACCTGAGGCAGGTGTAAAAGCACAGTGCTCCAGTAGCGGTGGTTTGCAGCCTCATAAGGATCTTTCTGCAGCAGCTTTAGGAGCTGGGACCTATTCCAGGGAAGATGCTGGTTGACTTGTCCTCAGGTGAACAAAATGGTTAGGAGTCTTTTAACTAACCTTCATGGAGATTTTCTCCCCACTCCTTCTCCTGACATGGAAAATCCAGGGGAGGAACAGCTGGAGATAAAAGAGCCCTGAATTATTCTACCTTTGGAATGAAATAACTAGAGAGCAGTTCCTGGTACCTACACCACCGCTCAGTGAGAGAAGCAGCCTGCCAAACTGAGAAGAGTTGCACTTCACTTAAAATTCTGAAAAGCTTTAAAGAGGTCTTTCTCCCCAGATATGTTTTGTCCCAGGTATATTTATAAGCAAGTAACAGTCACATTGCAAACCTTTCCTGCGTAGCTGGGTAGCTGGCTGGGTACTACAGAACCTATAGTACTCAAATTTGCTCATCTTTTATTTGTTTGGGTTTTTGGGTTTTTTTTTTTTGGTGTCCCGTACCCCTCCCTTCCCCCCTTCACATTTCTTGCAGTGCAACATGTGATTTACCACTGCAAGGTTACAAAGCTAAACTTCCTTTAGAAAGCTATCTCCTTGTAAGAGTGTGTAAATACCCAGTTTCACTAGAGCAAAGCAAATACATCCCCCCTGGATCTTATATCTGACTCACCTACCTACACCATCAGCACCACCCATTAGTGTGAAGGGCAATGGTGTGGAAGACTGAGTACTGCTTGACGTCCTCAAAATATGTGAGAATGTATTTCTTTGTGGGGTCACTCCCTGTATAAATCTACTGGTCAACTGAACAGAGGATCTGAAGCCAGAGTACGGTAAAAACAAATTTTCTGCTCAGAAATAAACAAAACTGAGACTGCAGCTAATTCTGTATCTCATTACAAAGCTGCCTCAGCTTTGACAGGAGTCAGAAATAAGTACAGCAAGTCAGACCTCACTGCAAAGTACGTGGAGAAGCTTGTTTTTGGTAAAATGACGCGGGTTATTTGTTTATCTCAGTATATTGACGGGCACTGTCCTTGCAAATACATGGATGAATCACACCAGACCTCTTGCATCACTGAGTACTTCTTACAATGGCATATATACAACAGTGATTTTCCAAGAGGGACTAATTAAGAGGAAAGAATGTTTTAAAAAAGGAATGACAGTAATTTAAATCTGAACACTCCTGAACTTCAGAAAAGCTGTGATCCGGCTCTAAAATGTAAGTACTAGGTCATCTCTAAAAATAACTGTTCCTTCATAATTCACTGCCAATCTCTTTATCAAACACTGTAGAAGAACTACTGATCATTTGGTGTTCAGTATTAAATATTCCTCACCAACAACTGATATGCCTATCGTACGAATTAAATGTTAAAACACCTGTGTTAAGTGCAAAATTACATTTAAGTCATGCTAATCACATGACAGCTATGAAACCTAAATCATTTTCCTAGTCTTGATAAATCCAGAATAATTTCATATGTCTGAATTAGACCCACTTGCAAACACCAATCTTGTATAATGGCTATCTTTCTCCCTGTGAAAGTCATAATGCTTTGTCCCACTAGAGCATCTAACTTTACAGAATTTTCAAAGGCTTCATAAATCTTAAGCAATTTACTTCAGTACATTTCATGGAGGCTAAAAAACATTATTATTATCTTATTTGCAGAGGAGGAAATTTAGATACTTCAGGTGCAATTTTACCTATTTTCTTCTCAGCAGTAAAGCCAGCCTAAGACATCTCTGCCGGTTACAGCATGCTGCCCCATCACAACAGTACAAACATTTGTGGACAGAAATCTGAGTTGGATGACCAGAATGATCTTGGTTTGATCCTTGTTCAAATCACCATTTATAACCTGGATTGCTTCAGTCTCCTGCTGCCTGTGAGGAGCTGAGTCAGCACAAATGAGATGTGGGTCCACAGTAGTGGACTTAGGAAAGAAGTGGCCAAGAAAGTGACTCCAACTCAGATGAATCCCTGAGAAAAAGTGATGTGAAACTATACCCATAGAGATGAACTGTCAATGGCAGGAACCACATCTTTGGTGCACACAGAGCTGAGGTCAGGAATCTGTAGAAAGCTGTTTCAACCTCCAGGCTAAAGAAACTTTCTGAGATACAGCAAATTACTGGACTGGCAAGTTACTGAATCCAAAACTTTGACATAAACTTGTTTCCAGGCAGGAGAACTCATTCATAAAGAGAGAGTGCAAAATGACTGTATGTATCTGTGCCCTCTCCTTGGTAATACCTTTATGACAGCTTCATTAAAACACAACTGTGTTATAATCATGAAACAGGAATTATTACAGTGCTTTCTGTCTGGGTACATTCTCAGTAACAGGGTAAGTTTGTATGGGGCCTATGTCATGACAGAAAAAACACAAAATAAAAAAGGTTCTTGTTTGATTCCACTGGCAATATGAGCAAGAATTAAACACCCTTGTGATGCTCTCCCCTTCTGGTTGACCCAACCTGTCAACAGGGGCTGCAAAATATGCTGCCAGTCTGCAAGGGCTTTTCTATCACTTTGGAAGTGTAAAGGGATTCACACTTCCAATTATTTTGAAATGACAGGGTTTGATTCTCAGGCCACTTTCCATAATAGCACGAAGCAGAACTGAGGCAAGCTGTCTCCCCACCCCAGCCACCACCTCAAGACAAACCTTCCAAGTCAGTGTCTTGCATGAGATATCACATTGAATTAGGCAACAGTAGTAACACGTAGAGTGTAAAATACAACCCTGGGCATCAGCACATGCATGAAGTACAAGGGTTTTCATGCCAGTACAACCAATGAAGTGTGAACTTCCAAAGCAATCCAAACTCACAATGCTTCTCTGAGACTTTCCAGGGCAGCACCAGCCTGCACTTCTTTCAAGATCAGACTATCTTGCAGCCTCAAATATTTCAGAGAACTGAATTCCTCTGAAATCTGAATTAAATCTAAAATCAGAGTTGTGAAATGTCTGGTATCCAAAGATTATTTGCTTCCATGCAGTGGAATAGGAATATCAGAACATGACTAACACATACTGGAGACAGGTGGATGTTCCTGTTGGACCCAAATAACCAGGCTGTAATATTTTTACAGCTTGTGAAAGTTGGCACACCCTTGCCAAAAAAACTAGGAATCAAGACTGATAAAAGATTTTGAGTAGATACCACTATTTCATACCCCATGAAAGGAGGTTGGAGCCAGGCTTTGAATAGAGGTTTGGGCTAGTTTTAAGAAAAAGGCTGAAGGTCATGGTGAGCCTGAATGAAAGCTACAGGAAATTTCAGCTCTGATTCATGTGCTATAATGCAGGGGTTTCTGTAAGGAAAGCTCGGATCTTTTACTCTCACTGCAACAGTTCTGAGGCAATTTGAGGGTTGAAGTTTGAGACCTTATACTTGGTTATTACAGCAATACTATGTGATATTTACAGCACTTACCATCTTCAAAGTCTTTTACAAACAACAGCTAATTAAATTTTTACATTTTAGAATGTATAAATAGGTACTTCTTTACACAGGAATATCACAGGCAGAAATGTAATGTAGCTTATCCATGTCTAGCAAGAGGCAACATTATAACTGGGATTACCGGTCTGAGGTTATTGATATTCTTGCTTTCAACTAGAAGAGCGGAAAGATGGTGTTTTGTGCAACAATCACCTTCATATATGCAGTGCACAAAATGTGATATTCCTGTTAGGAAATAGGAAGCATAGGAGCAACATTCTGCCTGCAATGATTTTCTAAATATTATGGGCCAAATTTCCTGTTGGCGTAACTCCACTGATCTGAGAACTTGATGATTCTTCGTTACTGTTAACCATGTATTAACTTACAACAGTCTGTAGTCTATGGGATTTCATAATGAAAGAAAACATCTATGGAATATATAATTATATACTAACTTGCAGAGATACAAAGTTCTTTGGAGCTGAGGTAATTTCAAATAGTTAAATTCAGCTAATGTAACCAATGATAAGAGTAATAAAATAGCAAATCAGTAGTTATTTTTCCTATTAAAAATGTGAAATCTGCCCTTCCTGAAGACAAATTAATGTGAAGCTGGTGAAATGCTTATGAGCTGCTCTTCTTGGAAATGCAAAACAGTCTTTGCTTCCTGCTGGATATTGCAAAACCCAGTAATCCCACAGGTGATCAGACTTTTAGACCTCGTTGGAATGAGGAGGGGAAGGAAGAATGAATCTACTCACTGAAAAGATGCATTACCCATGTGCCACCTTACTAACCCGTGGGGGTCCGAGATGTGAACTCTGGATCAAAATGAAAGGTGTCTTCTGGCCGTCCCACTGCGGGCTTGAAAGGCGGTTTGATTTCTTTCCTGTATAGTTTCTACAAGGAGAAGAACAGATCACAATCAACAACAATCTGTACACCTTCAGCATCTGCAGATAGGCTCCCCCACTTTGTTTAGGGTGCCCTCTCAGCTCTGTGCCATCCTTGCAGGACTGACAAAAAAGGATGACGTATCCATAGCTCTGGCTCCTGCTTGACTGGCCAGCTTAAAACCTGTGCCCTGGATGGTCCTTGCACTTTTTAGTTAATGGAATCCAGAATATAAACACAGATGTTTCTGGTAAAAATTTAACCCATAGACTGGCACAATATTCCAGCTGAGGCATCTGGAAATTCACTGGTCTTAGGGGCAGGACTGGAACGTGCAATGGTAACACCAGGAGACTGCATGGGTGAGTTCAGCAGTGCAGCAATGGCAATGAGCACAAAGAACTGCTAGGAAGTGGTGGCTGGTTTAGCATTTATTATTTGTCAAGAACTAGCAATCTGTTTGACACTCTGCCAGACTGAGCTGAGCAACAGGCCTGGCTGCCTGGTGCTCACAACCTAAACAAGAGACTTGCTCTTTTGGCATAGCTGGTAAAAGGGAAGGGGCTCACTGCTGAGGATTAGATGAAATTCCCATCAAAAGATGTTAGGAAGAAAGCACTGTGGATGGGTGGGGAATCATGTTGAAGGCCTAAATGTAGCGTGAGTAGAGGAGCAAAAACAAGAAAAAACGTAAGGAAAAGAGGAAGGTATACAGCAGGTAAGCACTGCTAGGTGTGTGAGTTTGTGCTAGCGAGTGAGGGGGCATGTAGGGGATCACATAAGTAACAGTCACCACAAACGCATGCTAATACACTGCCTTTATTACCAGGGACTTCATGGCCTCTTTACTCATGCTTAGTGATCTTTAAGAAATTGCTTCACCGTGCTCCTTTGCAAGCATTCATAAACACACACATGCTCACACACTCTGGGAGATGAACAAACTGAGGTGCAGCATATCTGGATCTGATCCAAAGCCTACAGAGGTTAATGGAAAGAGTCCTATTGATTTCAGTGACCTTTGCATCATGTCTGCTTGAAATGGCCAAAACTGAACATCATGCTGATGGCGGCATGGGAAACAGAGCTCCAGTTTGACTCCCTGCCCCACTTTTCAGTCCCTAGACTGCATCCCCTTTCTAGCAATGCTTTTGTTCTCAGGTTTCAAAGGGATGAATTAGTTGCCACAGACAGTGCCCAATAATTAACATGGCTGAGCATAAATGTAACGTTTCATCCAAACTTTCAAGTCATGATAAGAGCTGGAGAGTTCAATTCTATGACTGTTTGCAGTATGTATTTTTGGGTTAGCTCATAAAATAACTTCATAATGAGCTGCTTTTTCAAAATATTTAATGGACATTAATACATACTTGTCCAGCTCTTTGCATGCAGGAAGATTCTTTTTAACTGTGGGTTTTGTGGTGAATTAACTTCTGTAATATAAAGCATGTGGTCAAACCTAAGACATATACCCATCAACATAATTTGAACTTGATTTTGCATAGATAAATAAAGGTTCTTGAGGCAGGACATTCTGTAGCATAGTATTAGCATTAGCATAAAGCATATGTTTGTGGTTGAGTTATGATTCCTTGGAAAAGTGGAATGGTGAGGCTGGAAATGACTCTGCAATAATTAATGGCCATTTCACCATAAAAAGTTCCTGCTTGCGTAAAACTGCTCCGTATCTTCCGAGAGAAAAAGAGATGAATAATTGCTGTGAGCCACAATGGAAAGCCAGCCTTCCAAATAATTAAAAGCCAATTGCAATCTAAAGCAGGAAGTGTCACTCATCAACTGAAAAGTATCAACCTAGTAATTAACATATATCTTTTTCAGTCTGCACAGAACTTTAAAAGAGAACTTAGCACCTACTGAAGGTTTTTCTGTTGCTAGGATTCCACCTTGAGAACGCTATTTGCTTCCAGCTTCCCTTTATTTGTTTGTCTTAATTCACAACTACAGTCCTACTGCAGAAAGCAATATGGTCACATGCGCATGCTTCCTCCTTGAATTAAATGCATCCCTCATCCTGTGAGGTCCAAAAATTGGAACACGTTTTAGAGTCGTACATCATTCAGGAACTGCACTCTCTTTTGATTATCGTAACCATATTCTCCCCGGCCTCTTAATTCCTCCCCCCATCTGTAGTTTCTTAAGTGCTGTTGGAGCTACATTTGTATTTTGAATCCCTAACCCACATCCTCCACTACTAGGGAGGGATTTAAGATTCAACATGAGTCACACACCACCTAAAGATGTCTAATCACAAATTCGCTTGCCGGGAGGGGATGGAAACAAAGAAGTTGCTTGTGTGAGTGAAAGGCACCTCCTCTGAGTGCAACCCGGATGACTCGCTTTTCCATTTCCTTTTCCACTTGAGATAAAAATTATTTCTGGTGTTTCTGACTAGACAACTAGGAACATCAAAAAGTAAACTGCCTAAAACACTTTTTTTCCCCAAGCTCTTAAATCGGGTAACTAAAAGAAATCTTTGAGGAACAAGAACAAGCAGAGCAGTGTCATCTGTGGGCTTTCCCATCCCACACTGGCTCCAGTTCTCTGAGTGAGCCACTACAACCAAAGCCAATTCACTGAAGCAAGCTAAACCACAGAGCAGCCCAACACAGTTAAACATGAAGGCTTGCTGCAGGCAGAATGCTTCTTCCTTTAAAAACCCGCATCCTGCAGACTGCAAAACACAACGTGACAAAAGCTGATCTAAGAAAACAGTAAGAATCACAGATATTGCTTTCTCTACACACAGAGAACAAATCTCTTGGAGGATTTGAGATCCTTCTGGATTTTCCAAGAATATTTCTAATTTTAGGTGAAATGTATTAATCTGTTATCTCTTACCGTGGTCCACAAATTATTTGTGGCTGATGGATCACCTTGATCTCTTCCAACAGAAACCAACTGGAGTGGCAAATGACATAGCAAGTTAAGTTTCAAATCTTGTCTTTGACCATTTCGACCAGGCTGTCACGTAACTTCTGGTAAAGTTTAAACAGTTATCTACATCCCAAGTCATGGTAATCCTGGCTCTGTATGCAGAAGTCACTGGGAGTTCCACCACCTATTTTAATGGGAACAGGGTCCCAGTTGTCCCAGTTTAAATCCCAGTTCTCATATCCAAATTATTATTTTAGGGCATCTTATTAGGCATTCAAAAGAGACTTTGGATATGTTAGTGCTAATTGGAGCATTTAAATTTCAGGTTGGGTGCTTAAGATCATTATATGTGTGTTATTTTGCATGGGTATATGAAGCTGAAGATTTTTTTTTTTCTTTCATATTGCTTCCACATCTGTAAAGGAGAAATGTATTCCTTAGCCCTTAATGTTTTATTGAGAATGTAATTTCTCTCTCTTTCCCAGTAAAGAATAACCCCCCACATCCCACACTCATTTTTTTTAAACTGGCCACAACATTGGCTTATCACACAAAAATGTGACTGACAGGTATCAGGAATCACTGTGCATTGTGCACGGCTGTTGCATCCAGAGGCTGTGCGGAGGGAGTACGTAATCCACAGAATGAGGGCGATGAACTCCAAGGTGTGAAAGTATTGATTTAGATATTCACACCTGGATACACATCCATGCTTCTGTCTACTTATCAGCCCCTCACATCCTTCTGAGACTTTGATAATCAGTATCTTCAGATTCATAAGTACCTGTGAATTAACTGGAACACAGTTCTATAGCAGTTTGAGAAACTATGAGCTTCTGATACTTCACTACAACTTCACTACAACTTCCTTTCTGATTTGGGACAAACCCCCCTTTTTTTAAATAACTAATTTTCCCCTGTGTCCCAATGACCTTTTCTTAATGTATGTTGCCAGATCCCTTATATGAGCTTCATCTGAACACCTCCTCAGCTGGAACTTAAGTAATAGACTAGGGAGACTAGTAACAAAATGCTGTGACACGCATCTGTCTCTTGTTATTTATAAACAGTTAATTTTTCATCATCTTTAAAAAAAGGCACTTCTAAAAAAACCCAGAGCTGTAAATGCCCTGTACATGTGCCTGGCAAATATCAAGAAAAAAAAAATGGTTTAATTTAATTAAAAAATATTTAGTCATTTCCTCAACTGAGCTTCTTTGATGAAGAATTGAATTACTGCTTAGACACCTTCTAGAAATAGAAAGATGCTACCCTCCACAGTGATGCACTTGTAGTGTGAGAGTAAACTCCCTTGATACATATACCTGTCATGGAAAACCCAATAAGCAGAAAAAACGATAAACTACCTTCTAAAATGTTTGTCCTCTCCTAGATTAATGGCTCAATGTTATTGCCTGCAAATGATAGAAAAGCTAGCAGAATTCAGACCTTGGGATCAATTTTTGCTGTTGGTAAACTCTGCAATTAAATAATTCACATTTTCAGTTTAGTTTGATCTCTGATTAATATTGAAGGAAATCGAACTTGAGTCCACTTTCTTCCCACTGCTTCCCTCAGCTGTATTTGACAGTTCATTTTCTAGCATGTCATTTGCTCTAGTTCCAATTTAGCCTGTCATCTAAACCAAAACTACTGTTTATAATCCACTCCTCCAGCTGCAGTCTGCAAAAAGGGATTTCATTTTTCATTTTCAATGAAAAGCCAGAAATTCTTTACACATGACCTGGAAAGAAGAAACAGTAATAGAAAAATCAGGAACCAGGCTGTGCTTTCTCAGAGCTGACAACGAATTATCCGGGGTCAACTCAGTTTTGGTCTGCTTGTCTTAGGGAGAAAAGGGGGTGCAATGGTAGTAAGCAGGTAAAACTCAGAAGGTGCTTGACATCTAATCTCCTTCCTGTGAATCCCAGCCTTGATCATGAAAGAGTCCATTTGTTTAACAAAGGATCTATTGAATTTGCGTTGCAGTGCCTACTGAATGCCTTAGAGCAGTAAGACTGATATTTGCAGAAACCACCTAGTTTTCACCCTGGGAAGCAGGAATTTAGGGTTTTGTTACTGGGTGACAGTAGCTGTAAAACTGAGAC